TTACAGGCATGAGCCACAGTCCCTGGCCTCAGTCTTTCTTATCATTTTTCAAGTTGGAAGTCTATTTTAAGAATGAACTGTTCACACCACATTTTGATAAGAGCCATCTGTGTTGTTTTGTGGACTTCTACTTTGTCTATTTTACTACACACAAAGTAGCTAGCTAATCCTTTTCAGTAAGGATTATCATATTGTTAATCTAACTCAGCTTTTCAAAAACATATCTTATATTTCTTTCTATCCTTAGTTGGTTAGCTTGTGGGTATCTTAGTGCTCTTTTGGTAGTGAGATTGATGAAGCTAGGTGATAGTGGCATAATAGGAATATATTGCCTAAAAGTAGGAGCAAAAGAATTTTATTTTGGGTATAGTATTTAGCTGCTATTTGGGAATCCATTGAAAGTCATATAGCAGAGAAGTAGAAATGTGTATCAGGATACAACCAGACTATTTATTTATTTATATGAGCCGGAGTCTCACTCTGGGCCCAGGGTAGAGTGCAGTGGCATGATCACGGCTCACCACAGCCAGGCGGTCCTTCCACCTTAGCCTTCCGAGTAGCTGCAACTATAGGCATGCTCCACCATGCCTGGCTCATTTTTTAAATTTTTTGTAGAGAAGAGGTCTCATTATGTTGCCTAGGCTGGTCTTGAATTGTACACAACCTCCCAAAATGCTGGGATTACAGGCGTGAGCCACAATGCCTGGCCGAGACTCTTAAAATAATAACAGAAGTGTATGGAAAATGATGAGCTTCATGGAAGAGAAGTGGAGATGTCAGCTGTAGTGGACAGTAGAAATTGGGTATCAGGCTTTGAGTTTATGGATGGGGATGAGATGATTGGACTGGAATCAAATTAGATGACCTTGAGGAAAGTTTCATTAGGATTGTGTGTGAAATATGCTAGACTGTAGTGTGTTGAAGAAGCAGGGACTGAGATTCTTAACATGATCTAAAGACCCTGTCTACCTTCACATAAGCAAGCTCAATTTGAGTTCCTTTCTGTTTTTAAGCCATAGGTGCCTTCTCCTAGCTTCATTCTGCCTTTGAAAATTCATGCAAGTTCTTGCAGAGGAAGTTGTGGGACCTTGGGAAGATTACATAATTCCCTAAAATTCTTTTTCCCTATATGTGAAAATAGGTGAACATTAACCTGGTTATTCTTTTTCACTCAGGGTCTTGGCAGTTGCCTTCCTAATCTCTCTACTTCTTCCTTTGACCCCTGGTGTCTCTTCTCTGTGGTAAATACCCTGATCATGAAAAATGAAAATCCTGTGATGTCACTGCTCTGCTCACAGCATGTCAGTGGCTTCCTTCCTTACTAACAAAGAACCCCACAGCCAAGATTTGCAGGGGCCTTCATGATTCCACCTTTCTCCGAAGCCTCATTTCTGTTTATTGCCCACATTTGCCCTTGCTGCATTTGCTGTCCCAAGAATCCTCTATCCCCAAGGCCTTTACACAGTCTGTTCTATCTGATCTCTTTCTCCTGCACATAACTGTATATCCCCTTTCCTCACCTCCTTTATATAGATCTTTGCTTAAATATCACTGTATCAGGGTGTCCGTCATTGACTACTTTTATGAAATACTTCATCATTTGTTATTCTCCTTACTTTGTTTTTATAACATTTCTTCACCTGACACATATCTGTGTATTTACTGCCTGACTTCTGCCACAAAAATACAAACTTTTTGAGAGCCAGCATTTTGCCTCTTTTATTCACTGTTGACTTTATAACCACCGCAGCTGTTCCCGAGACCTGATTAATGCCAAAATAAATATTTATTGAGTAATTACTAACATAAACCTTTGAGGTCATTTATTATGATATGCCAGACTGTTCTGAATGTTTTGCATTTACTGACTCATTTATTTCTCCCAGCATCCTTGAGAGGAAATTGAGGCACAGAAAGGTCATGGCTGACAGTGAATACATTACGTGGCCAGAATTCAGGCATAGGTGGCCTTGATCCAGAGCCCTTGTTCTTTCTGCTTCCCTTCAAAAGAAGTCACTTGTGTAAAATATTTATCACAGTTTCTGTCATAGACTAAGTATTCGGTAAATGATAGTTGATATCATCATCAATATTAACTGTTAAGAGAATGTATGTGGAGCCAAACTGCCCAGTGCTTGATTTTGGACTTTAGTTTCCTTATATTTAAAATAGAAGTAACATTAACACCAAAAGCCTCCTGGGACCAGTTCAAATCCTGAACATGTAACCTTGGAACTGATTCCTTTTCTTGCTGAGCTTCATTTTTTTTTTAGTCTGCAAAATGCAATTCATGACACTTCTCTTCTCTGGTTATTATATTTGTTAAGAGAAATAGTGCATATAAAGTAGTTAAGTGCCTGGTAAGTTCTAAATTCAAAATAAATGAAATCTATTATGCTTTTATAATAATGACCCAATATAGACTATCTACAGTAAGTTATTAAACTCCTTCTGAGAGTAAAAGTAAAATGGAACTTAACCGTTTGTCAATTGTGTATTTTAATGACATAGACATTTAAAAATCTCAGCAGAACCTGTGTGTGTGTGTGTGTGTGTGTGTGTGTGTGTGTGTGTGTGTGTGTTGAATTTTTCTTCCTCAAAAGATTCCATTGAAACTTTAAAAAGGGCAGGCACAGTGGTTTATGCCTGTAGTCCTAGCACTTTGGAGATCAAGGAGGGAAGATTGCTTGAGCCCAGGAGTTTGAGACTAGTCTGGCCAACAAAACGAGACCCTGTCTCTACAAAAAAGTAAAAAAATTAGATAGTGTGGTGGTATGTGCCTGTAGTCGTAGCTACTAGAGAGGCTAAGGCAGGAGGATTGCTTGAGCCCAGGATCGTATCACTGCACTTCAACCTGGGTGACAGAGTGAGATTCAGTCTCAGGAAAAAAAACAAACAAATTTTAAACAGTGATAATAAAAAGATAGTGTTAAGAAAGGCAAGCCACAGAACAGGAAAGGATATTCGCCATGTTTAACAAAGACCTCACATCCAGAATATATAAAGAATATCTACAAGTCACTAGGAGGTTGGTAAAGAAAAGGCAGATAATTCAGTAGGAAAAACAAGAAGAAAATTTTGCCTCTTTTATTCACTGTTGGACAAATATTTCCCCAAAGAAGATATGCAGAATGGCCCAAAAATACATGAAGGGCTGGGTGCGATGGCTCAAGCCTGTAATCCCAGCACTTTGGGAGGCCAAGGTGAGAGGATTGCCTGAGGCCATGGGTTCGACAACAGCCTGGACAATTTGGTGAGACCTCTTTGCTACAATAAATCAAAAAATAAATAAATAAATTAGCCAGGCATGGTAGCACATGCCTGTAGTTCCGGCTACTTGGAAGGCTGTGGCGGAAGGATCGCCTGAGTCCAGCAGGTCAGCACTTGGGTGATCGTGAGCATACCACTGCACTCCAGTCTGGGCGACGGAGTGAGACTCCAACTCAAAAAAAAAATACATGAAGATGTGCTCATTTTAATTAATTATCAAGAAAATGTCAATTAAAACCACCATGAGAAAGTTAGAAAATACCAAGTGGAGGCAAGGGTATAGAGGAACCAGAACACCGCCATGCTGGTGAGAGTATGAAATGTTTTTTGTCTTTTTTTTTTTTTTAATTTTAGATTCAGAGGGTACACATGTGTATTCCTTACATGGACATATTGTGTAGTGGTGGGAATTGGGTCTCAGGTGGCCATTCCCCCTTATTAGTGTCACCAATGTCTGTTATTTTCATCCCCACATACAAGTGAGGATGTATGGTATTCTTGAGTCAGTTTACTTAGGATGATGATCTGCAGCTCCATTCATGTTGCTGCAAAGGACAAGATTTCATACTTTTTTATGGCTATGTAGGTGTGTGTGTGTGTGTGTGTGTGTGTGTGTGTGTGTGTGTGTGTGTGTGTGTGTGTGTAAGAGAGAGAGAGGGAGAGAGAGAGAATGAGTGAACATACAGGTACTGGTGTCTTTGTTATATAATGACCTCTGTTCCTTAGGGTAGATACCAAGTAGTGGGATTGCTGGATCAAATGGTAGGTCTACTTTTAGTTCTTTGAGTAATCTCCATAACACTTTCCATAGAGGTTGTACTAATTTGAGAGTATGAATTGTTACAACCTCTTTGACATGTTGTTTGATAATCTCTGCTAAACCTAGTGTATATATTTGTTATGATCCAATGATTGTATTCCTAGATATATACACAACAGAATGTATACATATGTTCACCGAAAGACATGTAAGAGTGTTAATGTGAAACCAGGCATGGTGGCTCATGCCTTTAATCCCAGCACTTTGGGAGGCTGAGGCAAGAGGATTGCCTGAGTCCAGGGGTTCGAGACCCGCCTGGGCATCATGGTAAGACCTCGTCTCTACAATAAATAAAAAAATTAGCCCGGTGTGATGGCGCATGCCTGTGGTTCTAGCTACTTGGAAGGCTAAGGCGGAAGGATCACCTGAGCCCAGCAGGTCGAGGCTGTGGTGGCCGTGAGCATGCCACTGCACTTCAGCCTGGGCGACAGAGTGAGACTCCGACTCAAAAAAAAAAAGTGTTAATGTGGGCAGACACCCAGATACACACAGATTGGGAAAGATGGAAAGAGCATTTTGGTGATGTTGGTTTGTTTAGGTTCCTGAGCAAATAGTACATACTGTGCGATTCCAGTGGTGTAAATTTAGACTTAGGGAAGCTCATGGAAGGTGGTAGAAGTGAGGACGGTTCTTCTCCTGGCAGTGGTGGAGAGTTGACCTATGGGGTTGGAGGGACTTTTGGAATTCTCATCTTGCTCTATCTCCTAGAAGAGTTGCTGAGATGTAATACAATTATGATATTTGTACTTTCTTTGCACTGAAAAGTAAAAAATTTACATTTAAAGATGAATTGATTTTCTTATTTTTAAAATCATCCTTCAGAGTAATTAGCAGTAATACTGTAATTGTAGACTATGAATTGAAAAAATGACTTATCTCTAATTGTTCTATTTTGTGAATTATCTTTTAGATATGAATTGAGAATTCGTTATTTGCCAAAAGGATTTCTAAACCAGTTTACTGAAGACAAGCCAACTTTGAATTTCTTCTATCAACAGGTATAAGGAGGCCACTTTAATATACATTTTTGTTTGTTTCTTTGAAATCCTATTTATTACATATTTTTATTTTAGAATTAGACTAAACCTCACACTTGGAAGAATATAAATTCTTAAATATAAACTTTAAAAGCTACTTCTTTTATGTGGAGATGGTAGGTCCACAACCGTTTCTCTATCTTTAATTCAAATATTATTATCATGCCTGAATATCAACAAATTTGTCCTATGTAGAAATTGCTGCCAAAGCCAACTATACCCATATAATCTTGATGGCAATTTCCATAGTAAAGCAAAAGTTGACTTTTTTTTACACTGAGTAGCTTTGCTTATTACCCGTTAGGGTGTTAGTTAGGCAATAAATGTATGTAGTATAAATGAACTAACACAATTTTACAACCAAGTAATTGTTATTTAGCAGTATTAGTGAAGAATACCAAAAAGGCTAATAAATATTGAAGATATGTAATACATATATTTTTGCTATTAAATGTACAGGTTTTTTGTTTTAATAAAAATATCTATTAAATATCTACTCTGGACCAGGAATACAGAAATTATGGCATAATCCATGCATTTTAAATTCTTTTGTTGACCACGGGCAGTGACTCATGCTTGTAATCTCAGCACTTTGGGAGGCTTGTAATTGTAGCACTTTAAGAGGCCAAGGATTGCTTGAGGCCAGGAGTCCAAGACCAACCTGGGTAGCAAAGCAAGACTCCGTCTCTACAAAAAATATGAAAATTAGCCAGACATGGTGGTACGCACCTGTAGTCCCATCTACTTGGAAGGCACAGATGGAAAGATCACTTGCCTCCAGGAGTTTAAGGTGCAGTGAGCTATGACCATACCACTGTACTCCAGCCTGGGTAACAGAGTGAAACCCTATCTCAAAAAAAAAAAAAAAAAAAAATTCTGAGTCCAGGGATTCAAACAATTACTTTGTGTTTGAACCTATGCTGTTAGTAAGCACAAATGATATGACCATGTATAGAAGAGTCTGCTAACCCATTGTAAACTTGGAATCAAGATAGCTCCCCTGAAAAGTATCATTTGAGGAGTCTCCAAATTGTAGAATGAAGAAGATTGTGTTTTCTAGATAAGAACATGGAGAGAGAAGAAAATAATGGTGCATTTAAGACTCATCTAAAAAGTTTTATAGCAAACTGTTCAGATAGACAGGGACCACATCATGTAAATAGAGAGGTTTTAAGTTTTCTTCTGAAGATTATTGGGAGCCATTTAAAGACTTTATTTAGCAAATGGCACAATCAGAATTTTTTTTTTTTGAGTGGGAATCTTACTCTGTCATCTAGGCATAAGTGGATCATGGCTGGTGCAACCTTGACCTGCTGGGCACAGGCAATCCTTCGACCTCAGCCTTCCAAGTAACTGGGACTACAGGCGTGAGCTACCACATCTGTCTAATTTTTTTTTTTTTTAGTTGTAGAGACGAGGTCTCATCATGTTACTCAGGCTGGTCTCGAACTCCCAGACTCAGGCAATCTTCTTGTCTCGGCCTCCCAAAGTGTTAGAATTACAAGTGTGAGCCACTGTGCCCGGGTAGAATTTTATTTTATTTTATTTTATTTTAATGAGACCACTCTGATTGGGTGGTAGTATCAAGGGTAGATTGGATTTTTTCAAGACGGCAAGCACCTTCAGAGGCTCTTTAGCTATTCTAGCAAGAAATTAGAAAGATATAAAGTATAAGGATAGGATAGTAAGTATAGTTAATGGATGGATTTGACAGAACTCAGAGATTGAACTAAAATGGAATGTGAAAATAAGGAAGAAAAAAGCTTAAACTGTAAGTCTAGGCCCTAGCACCAGTAAAGAGCAATGGTGGATTCGATTCAAAAGAGGTAGTAAGAAGGTAAATTGTTTTATTTCTCTGTGTGAGATAATGGATGTTCCTACTTATGAGATTCAAACAGAGAGTAGGAAGCTAAGGACGTTTCCAGCTTTTGGAAGGGGGTATCTGTTTTCTTTTTGTCTGTGAAGTAGAATTAATATAGGAAATATAAAGTAATCTTAGATAAGGGATTTGTGGGAAGTTTTGAGGGTTTACAATATGCAGAGTTGAATAGGAGAGGGAGTTAAGTTTGGCAAATTGGAAAGAAAGAAGACATGTTTAGCGTCCATCTGAGATTGTTGGAAGCCTACTCCTATTGCAAAGATCATTTTCAGTTTACTAACTGGTTTTCACAGGTATTATTACATCACATTATTTAGGAATCTGTTGAGTTCATATTTTGATGAAAGAGGTAATACAAGAGTTTAAATAGCATTTTTCTCTTATAGATGATCTATATCAGGATTGGTGTTATTTCTTTAGGAAAAAATCTACTCGCTGAGGAAATATATGGCTACTTTAGTGATATTGATTTCCTGAATGCATAATACAAGCCAAAATAGCTAGCAGTTATTCCTTTTTATAATTTCTAGGCTAACCTGAAAGTTGGCATCTTTTTTGTTCTTTCCTTGTTCATGCTGTTACTAGGTTGTCCTAATTTTTCCTTGTTGGAGACCTGCTTCTATCTATATGACTAAAAATTAGTATTAGATCAGGCATGGTGACTCACGTCTGTAATCACAACAAATCTGATATGAATGTATTTAAGGCTCTCAGTATACTGGTCAATTAATTAGTTCTAACAAATCTTGAACTCCTGGGCTCAAGCAACCCTGGATTTCAAGATGTGCCTGGGTAGCATAGCAAGAGCTCATCTCTACAGAAAATTAGCTGGACTTGGTGATGCACACCTGTAGTTCCAGCTACTTGGGAGTCTGAGGCAGAAGGATCACCTGAGCCCAGGAGATCGAGACTGCAGTGAGCTCTGAGTGTGCCACTGCACTCCAGCCTGGTTGACAGAGTGAGATCCTGACTCAACAACAACAAAAAAAGTTAGTATAACACATACCAATGTTTCCTTATATCTTGTGACAGTCTATATAATTCAGCTGAGTAGTCTTTATAAAACCCAAGAGAAAGTGAAGTATAATGATGAAAGTTTTATTAAAAGACTATGCAGTGAATATAATTATGTGCCTGTTCTGCATATAATAGCTCTGTGATTAGGTACCTCTGAGTTTCTTTGTACTAAGTCTCTTGTCTCATGTACTAAAATACAGATATATATGACCTATTCTACAGGACTATTATATTGATTAAATGAGATAAAATTGTCTGCCGTATAATTGCTCCATGACTTTTTGAATTTCAGTCTATAGACAGTACCAGGCTTATGAGGATTCAGCATTTACCGTTTGCATATCAAGGTGGGAACTGCACGTTATGGGATGGTACATTTCATATCTTGTCTTTTTCTTTCCTGTGTGCTCTCTGTATTGACCCTTCAGCTCCTCAACCTCACCTTCTGCTGTCATTCATTTCTACAGTTTCTCTTCCTCAACCCATCCTCTTTTTAATTTTTAAAAATTTGCTAACTTAGAAGAAAGGAAGTACTATGATTTGTTAGAATGAATGAATTGACAAGTATACTGAGAGCCTTAAATATATTCATATCAGATTTGTTAGATGACCCTATTCCCATTTTTGGAAATAAAAAACAGGTGAACATTGGCAGTTTCATATTTATTTGACCTAATAATTCTACTACTAGGAATTTATTCTAAAGGACTATCAAGACTTATATATGTATGTATATACAAACATGTTCATAGGCATATTATAGTAACAAGAAAGAAATTGAAAGTATTGCAGCTGTCTGTCAAGAGATTGGTTAAGTACATTCTGCTGAGTTTCAGATTTATGAATCCGTTATAAATAGAGGGTCACAGCTATTCATGGATATGGAAGGTATTACATTAAATGGTATTTTTAAAAACAGGCTAGGTGTGAATCATGTATAATTTCATTTTTGTGAAGAAAATATATACTTTTTATTTTACCCTGATGTGGCAAGAAAGTTTTGAATATAGTATGATTTTTCATTGTTAGTTTGGTGGGTAATTATATATTTGACTTTTCTTAATTAATTCTCAGTGCAGAATCTTTCCTGGTACATGTCTGGAAAATGTAGAACTAGAACTGTTAATGGTGATCCATATGTTGTTCCTAGTACTCAACTTGGGAAGAAGTTTAATTCCACAGTTGAAAAACCAGTTAGAAATTCAGAATTTTCTCCTACTTAAACACACACACACACACACACACACACACACACACACACACACACACACACATAAATAGAGGAAGGGATAAGTAAATAAATAATTGACACCTTTAGGTTTTTATAGCCAAACTATATTTAACTGAGATTGCAGCTGAAATATTATGTAAGAACTTGTATGAAGAAATTTTCACTGAATTTTAAGATAAATTAATCACTTTAAAAGGATCTTAGAATTCGATGACACCCATTCTGTAACTAGTGTCAGCAAATTTCATGGCTGAGTTTGATCACTTTGATCAGTGGTTTAACTTTAACTGTTAATTAAATTACTTTATTTCTCAGTACCTCAAGGTTTTTTTCCTCCAGTGTTTTATTATGAAACTTTTCAAATGTACTGCCATGTTGAAAGACTTTTACAATGAATACCTGCATACTCACACCACCAGGAGTCTACTATTAACATTTATTGAGTTTACTTTATCGCATAACTATTTTTTATTTCTCCATTCCTTTAACGGGCAAGTATTCCATCTGAATTTTGGTACATTTCAAAGTAAATTTCAGGTATCAGTACACTTCAACATGTATATTGTTTGTTTTTTTTTTTTTTGAGTTGAAGTCTCACTCTGTTGCCCAGACTGGAGTGCAGTGACCGCTTCCGGCCACCGCAGCCTCGACCTGCTGTGCTCCAGTGATCCTTCCTCCTCAGCCTTCCGAGTAACCGGAATTACAGGCATGCGCTACCACGCCTGGCTGATTTTTTGATTTATTGTAGAGATGAGGGTCTCGCTGCCCAGGCGGGTCTTGAACCCGCGGGCTCAGGCAGTTCACTCACCTCAGCCTCCCAAAGGTGCGGGATTA